ATTTGCTGTTTCTAATCTGTCATCTGAGAAATCAGATGACCAGAGCTGTGAGAACTATGTGTAAATTAAGAGCCAAGCTCTGAGAGATAGCCAGAGACCCCCCTTTGAAACAGCTTGTAGCAGGTTTCCTGGCAGTTATTTCCTTTCTTCTCAGAGCTTTTCTTATCTAATGCCCTGCTTGACTGTCTCAAAAACTGACCTCCATCTGCAGGATGTGCTCCTATTATGAGATACAGTGGAGCATCTATCCTAGTGCATGTGTGAGCACCTAGCTTGAGGACTTTCATACTCATGAAACTTTTCCTCACAGGTAAGATGGGTATACCATACCATCCTGCCTACTGCACAGTCAGTAAGGCATAATTGATTAAAAATTAAAAGTTTCTTTAAGAATGAGTTGTTAAGAAAGAAGCATTCTTTATAAAGAATACCTTGGCATGGTGGTACACACCTTTAATCCCAGCAGGCGGAGGCAGGAGAATCGTGAGTTCAAGGCCAGTCTAGGCTACATAGTGAGACCCTGGCTCAAAGTAACAAACAAACAAAAATGAAAACAAGGAATAATTCATTCTCAGGGGTCTTTAAACCATGGCTGCCTGCTGCCTATTTTTGTCAATAAAGATTTATTGGAACATAGCCTGGTTTATTCCTTTATGTACTGTCTATGGTTTGACATGAATATGGTGGAAGAATTAAGTGGTTGGCATAGAAATCATTATGGCCTATAAAGTCGAAAATGTTTCACTGATCCATCTAATCAAAAAAGTTTGGGGGGTAGAACTGGAGTTTGAACTCAGGGCTTTGCACTTACAAAACAGGTGCTCTGCCTCCTAAGCCACAACTCTAGTCCAAAAAATGTTTTTTTTCAAGCAAACAAGGTTTCATTTCCCACAAAAAGTCTAGTTGCTTAGCAAGGCATATTCTACAACACAAGCCATAAACTTAACAGAAGTCCTTCAGTAATAATAACAGTTATATTAATAACACACAAGAAATTTCTTACACAAGTTTTCTGCTATGTAAATCCACTACTGTGAGCATAAAAGACATCAGAATTATCTAAAATTTAATTCTTTAAAGAATAATTAGTTCAGAGCTGAAAATTATTTCTGAAGTGCATTTTAGGGGGAAAATCAGTATGACATTATCCTTATTGTGTCACAACAAATAGGGTAATAAAACTACTCAAAGTTGTGGTGCCAAATGTTCTGTGGGAATGCAAATATTCATCAAAATGACATCTCCAAGTTTTGCTTTTCCTAATCAGGCTGAAACATCATGAGGCAGCTGTTGGATCAATAAGTAAAACTGGAATCCCAGCCTGGCAGCTATGCATTTCCACCAGGACAAGGGACTTCAGTGTTGCACAAACACTTCCTTACTTCAGTAGTCAGACTCTTCCATGAGGTGAGCATGCTTACCCACATGCCCACCTAAGATCCCAGGCTTTGCCCTGGCATGCATCCAACTATGCCATCTGTCACAGAAGGAAAGCCCTTCTGGGAAAGAGGAAGAAGTCTCATCTGTTATCCTCCACACCTAAGAGGGGTTACACAGGCAGGGACTTGGCCCTATTCTCTATGCATTTCCAAACTTTCGCCACAAATGCTTTGGGCACAAATCAAAATGTTTTACTTCTGGCTTCAATTTCCTCCTCTTGGCTTTTTCTTTCTAGGCCTTTCTGCCCAATGTCTTACCCCATTGAAACTTCCTGCTTTCTCTTTATAAGCTCTATAGTTGTTCTATTGCTAAAAGATTTGATATCTAATGTCATGTCAACTTAGTCCTCCTTCATGTATTTACAGGAGGCGGAGTACTGGACAAACAGAACACAGAATAAGTCTTTTTGTACATGGAACTGAAGTTAAACCCTGTGCAGAGAACATCTATGACCACTTTTAAAATGCAAAGGTCTAAGAAAAAGTAACTAGGGCAGAAAATACACAGACCTTCATCTGAGAGGCAGGGCATGACCTGTGTGCTCCAGAAAAACTAGGGTCACTTGGAACAAAAGCTGAGGACTACTTCTGTAGTTGGGCAGTTGTGATCTAAGGGCCACCACAGTTGGCCACTGATAAGGTGAACTCATCTGTCCAGAAGCACTGGGGGTCATTTGTCACTCATTCACTTATTCATGTGCCACACAATCAACCTGTTTTCATCTTAGCTAGTAATTTTCTGCCTACATTTATGAAAATACAAATGGAAAAGCTTCTGAGCTCCTATTTTTTTCACCTTTCTAGGAAGAGATAAAATAAAAATCAAGTACAGGAAATATGATAGAACCAGCTTGCCCAGATGAAATTCGTCTTGGGAAAGAAAAAGTGGTTCATTAAATTTTAAGCAAAATTGGAACTGCAGAGATTAAAGGCAACCCATAACAAAGACAATACCAGACATAAGACTAAAAGAAACAACATAAACTTACTCAAAAGGAATGAGCTGGTAAGAACAGTTAGGACATCAGCCACCTTCCCGGGGTGTCATGGGGCTCACTTGAGATGGTCAATGGTTAGTTAGTGAAGAGCATGTTACAAATGTGAAAATGGTGACAGAGCTATGAGTACTGTTATCACAGATGATAGGCTCCTTCTTAGGTTGAGTTGACATTTAAAACTACCAATGTAGTTAACATGAGATAAAGAGCCTCATTTGGAATAAATATTTTATAGGTTAATTTGGCACTAAATATGTACATATGATTCAACATGGCAATTCTAAGCATTTTACATGGAACCATAAAAATAGCCAGTTCTAGGAGATCTCTAGGTTAAAATATGGTATGTCCACAATGGACACTACACTGATCACTCACTGTCCATTTGACAGCCCATGCCAGCCTTTCCCGACCTTTCTGTGTCCTCCATGCAAAGTGAGGCTGATGCCTAGAATTGAACACCCTTCACCTCTGACTTCTGGCATAATGAAACTAATGGAGGTGATGGGGGAAATGAAGGTAATTTCTTCCAACTCTCTGTTTCAGCCCTGCAAATCTCATTGGAGCTGTTTCTCTTCCATGACTCCAGGGGTGACCACACTCCCTGAGTGTCAGATCTCACAGACTGGGTTTCAGTTTCATTACTGTCTCCTCTTACTGCTTCAGCCCTATAAATGGCAAGCATTTCACCATGGCCCCAGTGTCTGGGTACTGGGGACCTTATTATCTGTTCCCCGTCCATTCCTTAATCCCTACCACACGCCTACAGAAATTCCTTTCATTAAAGTCTCTTCATTTGACCTATTTCAGTTGAATTCAGTTTTCCACCAATAAAACAGCTGATATACAATATAGATATCCATTTACTGACATGAAAAAATGTATGACAGACAGCAGATCAAATATTAACAGCACTTATGTTTAAGTAATGGGATAGTGTTTTTTCACGGTTATTTTTTTCAGATGTCTACAATATTAGCGTACATACTTGAGGGAAAGAAAAAGAAATAATAAAATTAAAAAGTAAAATGGGAATATATATAATCTCAAGAAATACTAGTGGACAGGTTTCACTCATTTACTTCCCATCTCATCAAAAAATACATAAATAGAAAGCTTTATAGCGCAAAGTTGTCTTCACTAGGCACTGGAAGCTTGAACACTTGTGAATAACCAAATAGCTTATTTTTGCTGGATTCTGTGAAAAATATATTCAAGTCACCAACTGTTCACAATTATAAATGTAACTGTATGCATTTGGAAGTACACATTTTACAGACTGGGGCTTCACAATCAAAAGTTAAGATTTTGCTGTAAACAAGGCTAACTGCCTACAGACACTATTTACAAACATTTTAGGTAGCAATTCCTCCATTAGTTTCATTTAATCCTATCAGGATTAAATTACTCCTATTCCACAGATAAGGAAATTGTCCTTAAGAGAAGCCAAGTAATTTGCTCAAGGTCATATAGGTCTTCATTAACAGGTCCTAGAGGAAATCCGGGGCTTTTTAGGGCCCATTTTATCCATTATACTCAACTGCCACTCAGGTCAACAGATTACCTAAGAATTCTCAAACTCTCCTAATTTGAGATTTATTGCACAAAGAACCATCAGGACCCTCGAACTGGTTCCCTACTTATTAGCAGTGCAAAACTGTGTGTTTACATATCAAATCTACAACTCCTTATCAATAAAATGATGAAGAATTACTTTTCCTACCCACCCTAGACATTTCAAAAATCTAGAGAATCTATGAAAAAATAAGCATGAAAGCCATCAAAACTGTAAAGCAGGTTACAAATGTAGGGCAATATTATGCTGCTCCCTTAAAACTCACTCATCAGTGTTGACACCTGGCAGTCAATGCAAAGAAAATAACTATTTGGATGAAGTGTGGCTCCAAATTATAATGTTACAAACTATCCAGTCTGTTAATAACACTCACCATAAAAACTACCTCTGATTAGTCAGTAAAATACATGCAATAGTTTCGCTGAAATGTACTTCAAGCAAACACCACGACTCACATTTATTAATCACATCACCTCATGTAATATGTTTCCAGCATTTTCTAAAATGTGCTATTCTCAACTTTCAGTTATATAGTAAAAAACTTTAAAATTCAAGCTGTACTTTCTCTATGGTAAGATATTGAAAGTTCAATTGAGCCACTTAGTTTTCAGTTTCCCTGACTCAACTTTTTGGAGTTTGATAATTAATTATATTCCATTATTACTGATCATCAATTAGCTCAACATGTTGCTGAGATGGTGAGCATGCTGAAGAAGGCAGAATTTAATGATAATTTGAGACCGGAAGAACACTAAATTTCTCTCTTGGTAATAATTAAAGTAGATAACTTATGTTTTTATTTATAGCTTCCAGAAATATCCGGCTCATTCCTGTGCACTGCCCTGTCAGCTAATCATCAGTGGGTAGGATCTTTGCTATTGTGTTTTATTTTCCATATATGCCTTCAACTGAAACCATACCAAGATCAACTAAAGGTTAAAAGAAGTATCTTCACTTGAACTTTCCACCTGGCCAAATGATTGTACATCATAAATAAGGATAAACAAGATAAAACTTCAATTTACCTGTCTCAATTTCCCAGATGTAGACAGAGTCATCTGCACATCCAACAATTAAAAAGTTCTCAACCGGATGCCATCTTATCATCTTCACAGGGAAAAGGTGCTTCCTGGCACGCAGGAGGCACCTCCTCTCCTCTAGGTGAAGGAGAGCCACGGAATGGTCACTACAGACACAGCAGATTATCTGACCATCTCTTAGCTGTGAAAAGACAGCATGCTTGTATAAGTAAATAGCCAAATGCATTCTTTATGATTAAATCAGACATTTTTCTTCCAGTAACATAAAACACCTTTGTTAGAGCCCCATTTACTAAAGGACATTTCTGCTTTCTATAGAAAGTCTTCACACAGTGCTCTATGAAGGACCTTTCAATAAAGATGAGAGTTTAAACTCAACAACCTACCAGGAAGGTCAAAAGATACAAGTAAAAAGGAGAATTCTAGGTCAGATCTACTTATAAGATAAATGAAGGACTTGACCATCACTCAGCAAATTCAGGCAGTGAGGCAGACATCGGAAATAATGCAGAATAAAATAAACCCCAGAACTAATTTGTTGCCACAAAAAGAAGCTATTTATAGACACAAGCTTAGGCCCAAGGGTATCATGAGCTGATAGTTTTCACTTAAAGCCTCAAAATGTGATTTGGTGCTGTTCCCAGAACTATACAGACTCTAATCCAAACAGGAAACTCAGTGTAGACACATTCTAAAAGAGGTAAGCATTAGATAGCTTCAACTGAATGTACAGCCTCCAAGACATAAGGACCAAAAATAGGCTCACAGGATAACAATTCTTATGAAATTTTTTTTAAAAGTCAGCGTGTGGTAACCTTGGACCACAGTTTAGGACAATGACCATCCATGCTGGGAGCTGCTGACCTACCCACAATTTCAGCTCTTGTGTTTAAAGCAGCAGCTGAGCTCTCTTGAGGCTCTTGCAGGACCCTTATTAATCTCTCTGTGGGGTATTGGGGACCATGTTTTTTCCTAATTTTTAAGGAGACTACAGACATTCTGAGGAAAAAAAAATAAAATAGCAGGTGTGATAAATATGGAAGCTAGACTTGTAGAATGGATCAAATGTTATTTCTTCCCAATCACCCTGTCCACCCACAGCTTATAGAATGGATGGCTCTATGTGCTTCAGGAAAAACACACAACACACACACATATACACACACAAAACCATGTGTGGATACAAATCTTCTGGCCAGGAGTGGACATACAAAAGTGACCCATACTAGGCCAATTAGATTCTGTTTTCTAGGCATCTGAAAGATGTCAATTGTATTTTGGAGCTTATTTTTTATAATACTTTGGAGAAATAATTTTATAAGCCAATCAACTAACTTACAAAATCATTTTTCTCTATGCTTTTTTTTTTTGCAGAGGAAGCACAAAAGTTGGCTGTTCGTATTTTAACAAAGAGCTGATGATCTATGGAAGCTGAATTTGAGTTGACATTTCATAAGAAAATTATGACTAAATTATTTCATTTTCCCAATACTATGTAGGTGTGCTCATCAACTTCTTAAGAGTCAATTTTTATAAAAGGATTAAACTGGCAAATAAAAATGTATATATGAAAAACAGTGCAAATACTTATCAATATGAATAAAAAAGGAAATTGTTAAAAACAAAATTAATTTTTAATTTATAGATCCCACATTGTTTGATTTGTTTTGCATTATCTATTACTTTTATATTTAAAATTCCACAATAAAAATTAAGACACACACCTAGAAAGAAAAGAAAAAAGTATATGTACTTAAAAAGGAATAAGTGGATTTGTAAAGGCAGAATTGATTAACTATTTGCTTTAGAGTAAAATTATTTGTGTAATATAAGTTGTAATGAAAATAAAATTTATGTAAAATGATTAGAAAGGAACATGAAAAAAGTGCCCCGTTATATTATGAGTATATGGACTTATTCTTCCTATGGGAATATGGGTCATTTTCTTCTTTTTTTTTTTTAATATTCTGCTACATAACTTTCAAATTATCTTTTATGTTTTACTTTTTATCTTAACTTACTCTGAAGTTCTCTGGTGACATCAAAAGACTTGTTACTGGACCAGCTTCCAAAAAGAATTTATGTAAAATTTCTCCAGTAAAGATATCCCACAGGATGACACATGAACCTTGGTCCCCAGACACCATCCAGCATTGGTCTAACTTGGAAGAGAGGCCATGTGGGTAAAGCAATGAAGTAACCCTTTGGTCATGGCCTTTAAGAATCCTATTAGATGAAGAATCTGAAAAATAGTCAAACACCAAATAGTACAAAGTCATTTCTGTTCCAAAAATAATTCTGAATTTTTTTCTTTCCCCCCCCCCGCTCCCTCCCACCCTTCCTTCCTTTTTACTCTGGTTATTTTGGAGATAGGGTCTGGTTTTTTGTTAGGCTTGCCTGGATTGCCATTCTCCTATTTTTTGCTTCTTGTCAAGTTTTTTTTTTTTTTTTCCCCCTCTCTGGGCTGATCTGGAAACACAATCCTTGTGATCTCAGCCCACGAAGCTAGGGATGACAGATACACGCACTGTGCCCAACCAGCAATTGTTTGAGATAGGGTCTCATAAACTTTTTGCCCAGTCTGGCCTCAGACCATGATCCTACAGATCTCAGATTTCCAACTAGCTAAGATTACAGGTGTGAGCCACTAGCAGCTAGCTTGAGATAATCTTTTATAAATTTTTAACATAAGCACATGTTTGTCCAGAAAATTAGTAAACAGCCCTTAGCTATCTCAAAAGGCAGTGCTCATCAGACTCCAGGTCATGATGTTGATGCAGCCCTTAAGTTGGGTGCTCAAATCTACTAATTCTTTAAGGATGTTAGCAAGTTGTCAAGTCATGTACCCTGAAATAGCAAGCTCTGTTCTAAAAAAAGTGAACAATTCATACACTCTGCCTCCACAAAATAAGCCAAAATTATTACTACCATGCTTTAATTTACATGATCAATTAAGTCTAACATATAAGAAAAGCAAGTTCCATAGAGCATTTTACTAGGAAAGATGTTAGCGATTACTTAGTTCTAGCTCTGTTTTACAGATAAAATCTCCTAGGCTCAGATTAGTAAATGACATAATTCCAAGTATCAAAAATCAACCATAATGTTGAAGACCATAGCTGTGCTGCTAAACCAACCTGCCCTTCATCTCTGGGTCAACCACTTATTAGATGCATTGCCATGGCTAAATTGCTTTTTTCCTCTTTCTCACACATGATGCATCTCAAAGATGCACTTCAGATAGACTGCTGAGTGGACGCAGTCTGCTTGGCACTTGGTAGGCACATAAGTACATAGGTATTTCAAATTCTTTCTGTACTAGAATACAGAATTACTGATACATCGTTTCTCTTCCCATAATCACTACTTATTCCTTTATCATTCGCGAAAGTCCTCAAAACTGGAAAGGACCATAAGCCACCCCTCTTTTATTTAAATAGGAAATGAATCCCAAAGATTATTCCTGTCACTTTGAGTTCATCAGACCCATCCTCATTTTATATCCTCTAGGAAATCTGAACAAATGCTAATCCAGATTCTGTAAGACAAATGTAAGTGTCTGCTTATTTTCTGGATATTAGGATAAATCAGGCTCGGTAAAAAATGCTAAAAGTCTTAGCTTTTTCACTAGCTTTTAACAGCAGCCATTTAGCTGTAAACCAGTACATTACCTCTCCTTGGCTCATTGCCATTTATTCCTTTCCTTCAGTTAGTCCCTGAATCAAGTCAGTAACATTTAGTAAGTGGCCAAAGTGGGCTGAGAACAACAGTGGGCACTGGAAGAGGAGTTTTTTTTTTTTTTTAATTACTGAGATTCAGTTTCTACTCTTAATACTTTACATTTTAATAGGATGTATATAATTGAAAAACAGTATACAATTTTTCCACATATCCTAAAATCTCAATTACTTCCTCTATTTTCTTCCTGTATGTAAGACAGTTAATTGCATGACATTTATTTAATAGGTATTTATTGTTATAATGCTTAAAAATGTATAAGAACATATATAAATTTCATTAACAAAGAAATAAAAATTTAAAAAGAAGGGACTATTTTACTCCTGATTGGCAAAGATTTAAAAGGTTTAATAGCATATGTAGTTTGAAAAGGTTTTGGGGAAAGGAATTTTCACAAGATATTCTTGGACATACATGCAAATTCTTTAATAAAAGGCAAAAGGTTTACATGATCTGAAGTGAAACCCAAGTCTTGGGGTAAGTAAGTTCTTTATATAACCTTTTACATATATTTCCAAAATTTGAAATGCAAACAAATATCAATTCGGTATTGTTCTGAGGATTGGCGGTATAGATATGCCACAGATATGGACAAAGATAGTTATGTGGTGTTCACAGTGGCTAATGACTAGAAAACCTCAATACCAATTAATGGAGATTTTTAAAATTAAAATTCAATTGTTATTAGACATTTAAAATGAGCTCATAAAGAATGAACATCAAAATATTTTATTCAGATATATTTAAGGATATCTCAACAAAGTGTGTAGAGCTTCTATTTATATAATATAATTAAAAGAATGTATTTGCTATATTGGTAGGGCTTTTATATACAAAGCAAATGTTAAGAAGGGTATAAAGAAACTATTATTTTTAATCCTCTGAATATAAGTTAGTGCAGCTTTGTTGAGGTTGAAACTCAATTAAATAAGCAGCTCAAAAAAAGTTCAATCACCTCTTAATAAAGAACAGCCTTCTAGAAGTCCAAATTTGGCAGCACTCAAAGCCTGGGCGATGAGAATCGTCCCGTCCTCAAGGCCACATATCAGCTTATCCAGACTGGGAACGTACGTGGATGAAGCGACTGCCCAACTTCCTGTCTCATCTCTTAACCCAGAGAAACGGTCAACAACATTTTGTGACACAGTCTGATGCTTATCAAAATTATCTTGAAGGGTCCAGGTGGTAGTTATAGGTATCTCTGAAAAGAACACACATACAAAAAAGGAAACTTTGGTTTACCAACTCATACTAGACAGGGAAAATGTTACCAAGACATTATCTCTTCAAAACTGTAAATACATTGCAACAGTTCAATCCACATTCATGTTGCCAGCATGTATTCCTTGTTATGCTTAACTGATGTTAATTTGAATTATGCTTGTTGTATTATTGTATCAGATCTATATACTCTATGCTTATACCTGTTTTTATGTCGGCATCAAATGCTTAGTGGTCATGAGAAAATTTTTCTTGTTACTCAACACATGAAAACACTGAATTAATTGTAAATTAGTCCTTGTTGACATGTGATTAGAAATTACCTCTAGGAGAACCATCAAACTTGGATACAGGAACATCTGGGATGTGCCACAAAGTAATTCTTCCCGAGACTTCTCCAGAGAAAAGTACCTTATAAAAAGGCTCTTTCCTTTCATTCATGTAGCCCATCACAAAGGGGAGGCTCTGTGCCAAAACAAGAAGTGAGCTTTTATGTAGGAAACATTCTAACTGTAGAGACACAGTCACTGTTTTTAAGTGGAGGAATAAGCCTTCCTAGCCGAACTAAATCTTTTCAAGCTATTTGCCATGGTTTTAAAATTTTCAAGTGAATTACATGAACTAATCTTTAAAAAGTCTTCATAAAACAAAAAGCAAAGTTATCATCTAGATTTCAGAATGCTGATCAGAGAATGGAATCTTTATGGACTATGTTCTGTATTTGTGTTACACTTACTGTTGCGTGCACACATTGGAGCTTCCTGTGCATCCAGTTACATAATCCTGTGAAGCTGGCACTATCATCGTCTGCATGTTGCAGATGAGGAAACAGAGGGAGGGGTTTGAGTTACTGAAAGTGATAGAGATAGCAATGGGCTTCAACTCTAATGATGCTGACTTAGGAGCCCACACCTTGAAGTGCGTACTGCCCTCTAAGGAGGTCTGATCTCTTCCCAGTCCTTTGGTTCTAATTCAGTTAAAACAGCAACAACTAATGTTTATATGGCAATTTTGTGTTATGAATATGCTATCCATTCTGTTGACCGTTTCAACATATGTAATTTTAAACCTCCCAAGTAGCCACAAAGAAAAGTGACTCCATACTTTGTAATGTATAATACACATTACATATTATAATGTGCATTATAAAATATTATGTATTCTATGCATGATATATGATATGTATTATAACTATAAATTATACATATAATGATAACTTCGATGAGGTGGAGTGCATGAACATCAGGCATAGTACTCTCCAAGATGTGCTTTTCACCAGTGAATATGTCTAGAGTCTACCCCACACCTCAGCGCAGTGCAGCTGTTCTTTGGGCAGGCGTGTATACAGAGATTACACACAGGGATCAGAATGATTAAGTGATTAGAAAAACAAAACCAAGAACCTCTTTTGATCTACAAATAAAAGGCATCCTGAAAAGAAAGCCAACTGCTAGTGCCAGATTGAATTAAAGAAGTCTAAGAAAGTAGCGGTTCCTAGACAGAAAATACATGATTTTAGGTCTGGAGAAGACTAGGGCCAAAATAGTGCTACATGTAATCCCCACAACAAAGCTATGAAGAAAGCATTGTTATCACCACTATGGAACTAAGACACAGAAAATAAGAGGCAAATCCAAGGCCATACAACAAAGATATGTAAATCTCTAAGTCCCAAGAAATGGGAATATTGCAGAAAACAGTTCCAATAAAGTCTGGTGCATGCATGCGTGTGTGTATATGTGTGTGGGTGTGTGTGATTCAGAGGGCATTTGGAGATTTTACTGAGTTCACAGCTATGATTTTTATAGGTATTGGAAATGAAGTTGATAAAATTTAGTTAAATAGACTACTCAAGCCCTCCCATAGTCTTGTAGGAAACTTAGAATTGTTTATTCCAATTCCTAAAAATGAGGCTACAGAGAGACTGAGTTACTCAAGTTTGTGGCAGGCCATTCCCCGCCCCCCCCCCGCCCCCAACTCAGTGCTCTGCTTCTACAGACAGGGTTCCTGGTTGCTGTTACTCCTCAGCCCTCACAGTCCATCCATGAAGCCATTCCTCTCTTGAGCACACCAACTTGGCCCTTCTCCTTCCTCACCTAAACCCCCTTAGCAATCCTTTATTATATAAATTCTGATTTTTTTTTACCTCAGTAACAAGTACCCATCATAGGGAGCACCCATCCTCCAAGAGGCAATAAAATATAGTCATCAAATGAAATCGTGGGAGCTAACTGCCTAAAATTCTAATCCTGGTTTATCACTTGCTCAATTAAAAGAATAAGTTGCTTAATTTAAGCAATTTACCTAGCCTTTCTGTCTCACTTTTCCTGACTGTGAAATAGGGCTTATAAAAGCACCTTCTTTAAGGGATTATTGTGAGGATTAATGAGTTGAAAAAGACAAGGTACTTAGAATGATGTCTGGCATTTAGTACCTATTTAATATCATTCATATTCTTCTTTTCTCAGAAAAACTGATAAACTTATTCCAAAGACCTATTATCAAACTTAGATTGAGCTACCTTGTTTTAAAATCTGGTAAAACATCAGCTCCAAAATGTTCCACAATGACATCTTGACAGCGGCCAAAGTCAATGAGGCAATCTGTATGTTTGATAGCAATAAGATTCAATAAAAAGTGATATCTATCTATCTATCTATCTATCTATCATCATTATCACCATCATCACTCTTAGTTATTCCCAAATTCCTTAGCTACAATCCTCAGGCCGTTTCCATCTCAGCTACTCCCACCATAGTACTGAAGCCTTACTGCAGTTGAGACATGCAAAGGCTACTTCCAACAACAGCCTCCCTGCCAGAATCCTCAGTAGTCACCAGCTATGAACTGAAGCCAAGATATTCTCACAAAGCTACTGGAAGAATGGATAAATCTCTACTCTTGCTACTACAACTCCATCAGCAGATATGCTCACATGTATTACAAATGATAACTCTCAGAACATGCTACTGTCAAACTTTGAGATTTAATTCTATGGTATCACTAAAAGAAAGGGTCTTGTCAATATTATGTTTACAGAGCACCCTTTCCTAGGCTCTCTGTATCTATCAAAGTCATCTTCCCTACCCTACCACAATGCCTTCATCACTTCCTAACTGCAAGAGAGACTTAGAAGTATTATATTTAATGAATGCCAACATTGACCAAATAGTGTCTGACTTTAATTTTTTCACTGGATAAAGGGCAAGCCAGGGTTTAAAGATGGGTAGACCAACTCCCTTCAAGTTTAGATTATTCTATTTATAGTTCACTGGCTTCTTAATACTTCCTACTTTTTAGATATAGAAATAATTATGGTTGTCTACCTAAGAAATATTGGTAGAAGACCCATAAATTTATGACTTCACATTTCGAGAAACAGCAAGATAGCTTCCCAATCTTTTAATTGTTACGCATGCCATTGATATTTGCAGCAAACTATAAATTCCTAAAGGACATAACTTCTAGGGCAAACTGTGCTTAGTAAGAAATCACTCTGGAGCTAAAAAAGAGGAACAACAGGTCCTTTAAAATAATTAAAAATGCCTTTCTGAGTAAGTCACACTATTGTTTTGGGGATCAACAACAACAACAAAAAAGACATGCTCTATTACTGTCCATGAATGATTTTGGAAATAGGTCTTGAGGTGCACCACCATTCTAAAGTTGCCTGTGCTCCAGTGGCACCTGGGGTTCTAATTTTTGGTGGTCAGCTTCTTAATCAAGTTTTTGTGATAAAACTTTTCACAGATATGTTAACGGGACAGTAACTGAGCTATTGTTCCCACTGACTATGTTGTCTAATTAAGCAAACCATCATTCTCTAAAAAGTAGCATGCTTTCTTGGTTAAGAAATCAATAATTCAAAACTCCCTCTCTCCATGAAATACCCTTTTGGATAATTAACTGATGACTAAGTATAGAGGTTTAAAAAATCACTTTGGGTAACACCACTGAAATAAATAACTGCTCAGATTTTTGACTTCCTAGAGTGTCAAAGGTATAATTCAGTCAAGGAATAAGCTCACAATTATATTCTCAAATTTCTGCTAGAAAAAATAATTATTTGTTTTAACAAGAAAAATTCACTCCAAAGAATAGCAAAGTACATGTGAAAATTACCTTGCATATATGGCTAAAATTTAAAAAGAAAATCATGATCAAGCCATTTCATAAAGTTTTAAAATTGGAGTAGATACATCAAAATGGTAATGATGTTCTGTCAAATCACCTATCAAAAGGATCGAAGAAAAATGTGTAAAGTTTGTGTGTATGTGCAGAAGGAAAATAAATCTAACAAGATGTTAACAATTGGTTCATCTAGGTAAAAGATACATCAGTGATCACTGTACAATTCCCATTGTTATTCTACATATTTTAAAAAAATAAGTACACACACAAAACAAAATGTAAACATTCATGGCAAATAGTTATGGTGGTGAAATAAGAATTCTAATTTCTTCTATATTACATTTTCAGTTTGCTTATAATAAGTAAGCATTATTTCATTAATCAAACTTAAAAATAATAGCTTGTTTAAGGACAGAGTTTTCTCTGTAGGAGTCTTTAACAATTAAACTTTATTTTCTCATTAACAACTTGATGTGATGCTTCTATTTAATTTTTTCAAGGCTGACTCTGTTACAAACAAAGCAGCACTTAATCCAAGAATCAGCTTTGAGGCAGCCACTCTTTTCTTGCATTACCTTGTTTTCCTCCACAGAAGTGGAGCACAGTAAATGAGGATAAATGGTCTCTTTAAGGACTTTTCCATCAGCAGGGTATATGCTCTTTGAAAGCCCACTGCATGGATAAAATAAAAAGCAAAGTTTAGAAATTTGGGTTATTTGTTTTTCCCTCCTCCCACTTTGAAAAGCCGGATGGTACCATTCAAGTTTCTAAACTCTAGTTAGAAATTGTTGGGTTAATAATTACAAGTGACTTTTTGAAAACCCAGCACAGCTGTACAAGTTATACATGGTTAATCTCATTCCTCCATCCCCTGCTGTTCTGTACAAAAGCAGAAGCCTACCAAGCCCAGAGTAAATCTTCTAGTGCCAAAGTTGTTTTGTTCTGGTTTTTGATCATGGGCAGCATGCAGGGATTTTTCCATAATAAACCTCCCAAAGTTCATTTTCTACCTGAATGTTTTGTATGCTGCTCCCATCTGACCCACCTGTTCAGCAGCTGATAGATATAACTGTGACCATCTTCTGTCCAGATGAGTACTCTGTGAGCAGCAAGCACCTCTCCGCCAGCAAAGAACTGTCCATTTCTACTAACTTCAGTCCACAGAAGGGAAAATCACAATAATCATAAACCTAGAATACAATGCAGATGCACATTAACAAAACCTTATAATAAAATCTGCCAATGAGATGAAAGATAAAAGTATGCTTAAAGACTATTTAGATGATAGAAACAAAGTAACAACATATTAACTGTTAATAACAAGCCACACTCTACCCGTATGTAACAACACATGAACTATTAGTAATTGTGGACCAAGATAATATTTAACTAGTACTTATAGTTTGAACATAAGAAATCTCAAATCCCAAACTGTTGACTACTTTTATTCTTTCCATGAGAGTACTCCAAGTTTAACATTTGAAAATTTATTACACACAAAAAAGCTCACATAGTAGAAGTCCTTTGTCAGAATACGTACCTTAACTCTTTGTTCAAAACTATATTATCACCATACAAGTAAGATAATATGCTTTTGTCAACTGAGTTAGTTGTATGAAACATTAAAGAAGGATGCTATCAAACAGTGGCAACTTAGCTTTTCTTTATTCTTAGAGACATCTGTGAATACATTCACATGAAAAGAATACATATTCCCTAGAAACACTGCAGTGACAAAGCAGAAAAAAGAAAAAAACCTAAAAATAAGATCAATCAATGTAGGTGAAAAGTATTAGTTTTCTGACACTAAAAGCATTTGTTGAAAATAGTTTAGAGACAAATGCTCATTGTTATTTTAGTTTTGCTATTAAAAAACTAAAATATGTCAGTACATATATAATATCTTGGGGAACAAAATAGCTGAACATAGGAAGTTGAAAATTAATGTCAGTCATAAAAAAGAAGTCATTCTACACTTTAGCAACATTATTACAAATAGTTTGTTTCATGTTTAAATCATATTCTTATAACTGTAATGCTGAACAAGAAGAAATTACATTTGTGTATCACTGGTATTTACTATTATTATGATACCTTCCAACACTTAGAAAACACCACCAACAGAAGTCTCTCTGTGTATGTGCAAAATCGAATTGTCTGGCAGTTCAAGGAGTCAAGAAATTTGGATTCTTTTTCATAGACATCTCGTTTTTCCTTCAAAAGGAAAGAAAACATTTTAGTTCTACTTCTAGAAAATTTAAATATTACCACAAGAAGACTTGTTCTATGTGCTTGAAGTAGATCACAGGAAAAGTACCTGTGCTTGCTTTTGAGTATTTTGAACTAAGAAGTTACTTTGTAAAAGAAGCTATAAGCAGGAAATCCACTTGGATTCAAGGTATAATCATTCGACAAACATTCTGTGGGAGCCATGCTGGATGCTGAGAATATGATTAAGTCAGACACAGCAGAAAGATCCAACAAAAATGCAAAATACTAATGTTTTCAAAACCTGCCATATCTTAACTGCTAAAATAAGAAGAAATGAAACAAAGTACTTTGAAAGGGAGAAGAGCAGTCAACATAGAACATACAGAATAATAAGCTCTTGGGTTTCTGATAATATTGGGTGAGTGGTGTGTTTCTTTTTCTTTTTCTTCTTTTTTGTGATAGTAGATTTGAACTCAGAGCTTCACCCTTGCTAGGCAGGCACTCTACCACTTGAGCCACTCCATCATCCATGGTATGGGGTTT